CCCGCCACCCCCTCCGCCGATTCTCTTACCCGTCCCTCACCCTGCCGCCACCAACGTCCCTCCTGTGACACAGAGCTGGCAAGATATCGACTCTGACACCCACGCGACCCATAAGCAACCGGGCTTCACCCCCGTCATTCCCATTTCGTCGGAGATTCCCATAGATCCGGGAGAGGAACCGGACTTCCCGCTACAAGAGCACTCGAATTTGTCAATTTTTGTCAATTAACCAGACATCAGTAGATGGACGCGTTGAATAATCGACAGTTCCGACGACGATCAGCTTTGGAATTTCTCCAAGACTCGCGAAAAATGAAAGAACATATTTGAATAAAGTTTCGTTATGCAAGAAAGCTATAAGTTGCGAATGACATACATTTGCGGTACATTATATAATAATATAATTGTTTCAACATATCTCTCAAATGCAATTATATGACATATTCTTAATTGTATATATATATTTATTTATTTATATATTTATACATGCTTATGTGTAATTAAAAAAAAATGTATAAGTTTAAGATGAACATACAGCGGATATGGACTTATACAGTTGCATTTTATTTCTTATTTCACACAGGGTTACACATATCCACGTATAAGTATTAATACAGAACAGCAGTGAGGGAATATCAAATCACATTAAATAAATTGAGTCGTGCGAGCACATTTTAATTGCACATTTGAGATGGAAACACTCGTTGAAGCCGGAAGCGCGCAACTGATACAATTAATTACCAAAGCTCTTAAATACATACGCATACACACGTATCCCGCGTCGTCCATCGTAGATGCGATCGCAACGTTCGTCGTACCGGTAACGTCAACATTTACCACTGGTCGAAGGACCAGCGACGCAATTAATAATTTCGTCCGTGCATCCGCCACTGCGCTGTCTCCGGCCGCGGCGCAACAATATTTGCCGCTCTTGCAGCAACATTTTTCCGCTTGCCGGCTTTTATTTTCATCGGCAGTCGTCAGATCCTACCTTCATAATGGAACGAGTCGTAAAGTACACTCCTCCGCTCTCCGTTCAGCCCTTTACTTCACCCCACCGTCCACGCATTCGCGTCCACGCGGGATCGAATTATCCATTTGAATATGTATTGTTTGAACGGAGCATCGAGAAACTATTTCGGTCTGAATGATCCAGAAATGGAAGACGAAGGCCGACATGAGCCATTATGAAAACGGAATTGTGGATTTTACAGCTAATAATTCTTTTCCTTTTTTTAATCGTGCTAGTCGTTTCTGCACAAATGATAGCAAAACGTGTCACATACGTAGAAACGCGTATAAGGTTCCACATCGAAAAGTGGCGCTCGTGCAAATCTATGATTGGACTATTGGAAATCTGGATTAAACGCAGATGAAATATTTATCCGTAAATCTATCGTGATATATATGTGTGTGTATACCGAGCCATTACAGAAATGTCTGAGACTAGCACGGAGATCAGAGTTTGGCTGTACGCTCGGATGGATAGGTTGCTCTCAACTAATGAATACACATGGTATTAATACTGCAAATAATAAGAAGCCGCGTTGGAAGATGGAAGGCAATATAATAATTACATCAGCATATCGGTAAACAAGAGCGTCAGCAACCCTCGCCCGTTGGCTCCGGCGGCTCGCAACCGAGCACACAGCAAACTGAATATTCGCCGCGAAATCCTTCATGGAATTATTTTCTTCGGCCTAAAATGACGATAGCAGACCGCACTACTAGTTCAACCATGGGGTGGAATTAAATCTCTATTCGATATTTATAGCAGATATCGTAGCGATGCAAAGCGAAACATAATGAAGAAACTCTCTGATCAGGAGCAGATTATCTGTAGTCGTGACAAAAAGAAAAAGAATCAGATGACTCACTTCACTAAACAAAAACAATCGTGCCATGACGCTTCGCAGGAGCCACACACACACACGTAAGTCTCACGATAGCGAGGGGTGGCACGACGCGGAGAGGAGCGCAGTAAGCCCCTAATTTCTCGGGGTAAAAGTTGCCAGCCGTAAGCATCTCCGCGGAGGGGTGACGAGGTTGAGCCGTATCGGGGTGAGTTGAGAAAGGCGCGGTAGTCAATCGACAAGCGACGAGAGGGAAGAGAGAGTTTATATTGGGAAAAAAAGGCGAGACTCGGGCAGCAACAGCAGCACCAGCCAGAGTGAAACGTTTAAACTTTTTATGAGTTGCTGCGTCGTCGCTCGAGCGAAGAAATTTCAATTTTGTCGCCCACCCTCGTATCTTCTCCGCGCCGCGAAGGAGCGGCCTTTCGACGGATCCCTTTTTCCTTCTATCCCCACGAGCGACACCATCACTTGCCGAGAATTTTGGCACATCCGGCTGCGATATCCGCGCGGCTAATTTGCCTCGACACCTCCTCCGGTCTCGATTCCTAGCATCTTCAGCCCCACATCGACTTGCATATTCGTCTAATGAGGTTCCGAGCCCTCCCCAATTGAGAACGCGGAACTTCAGTCGGTTTGCCGAATAAGAAAGATATATTGTATAATTGAAGATCGAAACGGAATTAGAAGGATACGCCGACATTTTTCATTATTTCACCGCTTCCTGTGCCTTAGAAAAAGAGGAAAGAGTTTTTCTCTCCAGTTTTTCACTGGAGCAAGAAAAAAGACTATTCTTTATATTTCGTTAATAAATTCATCAGCTTCACATTCTTATTCGTTCTGGGGGCCATCAAGATTTCAACAGATTACGTCGCGTCGAACGTTAATTATTCCAAATAGACATCTTATATTAGTCAGAGTTTAGCTATTCTTACATGACACTTTATCGCACATATTAAATTGCATAAATCTTATTCCGAAATGAATATCTGTATCTGAAATTATCGTGCACGATTGATCTTATCGATTTTTCTTCCATGTAAGGTAAGGTGGATTCATTTCTAAGACTACAGTGTATAATTCGATGTATCTACCTTTCTGTCGATAGTCCTCGAATATTGAATAATCTTGCTCATATTTCTTGTCTTTTGTCCGAAAAATTATTCTAAGAATATTTGCTATTTATTATTTTTTTAAATTGCACATTCGGCCTCCATAAATTGCCCGACGAGTCGACCGAAGGCGATGCAAGTCTCGTAGTCCTCTCACCCTCGCCTCATCCTCTCTACCGAGTCATAAAAGTCTTGATGAAGACGTCAATGAATATTTATCCTTTCGTTCCGTCGCAGCTTCATCTTGCCTCAACCTCATCGGTGGTCTGGCGACGTTCCTTTCTTTTAAGACGAGACATTAAGCGAGCTCGATTGGCGAAGTTTTATCAGCATTTAATCCGACGTTCCGATACTACGTCAGTCCAAGATACAATCACGTGTTCATAGGAACAAGACATTGCCGAACACATTAAGAATTGTGTTCTACAGTAAATGATGTATGCGAACTCTTCTGGAAGCTTGTTTAGCTAAATCTAATTTGTATGTTTGTGACGTATTGCCATCGAACTGCAGTCTAAATCGATAAATAATTAACGTTGGTATGTATTTAAATATATGTGTATACTTAAGAAAAGGAAAAATTAAAAGTATCATTAAAAAAAGAGAGAGAGAAAAGAATTTCTCTCTCGAGAAATATTGATACTTCACACAAAATGTGTGTCACATTTCACTTCGAATAAGTGAACATCTCGAATATCAAGCAACACACCGACACGTTGTTGGCGAGTTTTATTAAGACATGACACTTGACGCTCGAATTAGCAACAAGACCGTTCACAAAGGAGAGAGAAGACGGGTGGAGTGAATGTTCATGGGTTTGACCACTACGAGGTAAGCGTCGAGACGCTTCACGACGTAGAACGAGAAAAAGACGGAAGCGCCAAAAGGCAGCGGCCCAGACAAACGCGGAAAGGCAGTGTCAGCATTGCGCAGATCCTCCTCGTCGCTGCTACCGCCTACTGCCACCCTCCGTTTTAATATGTTGACGCTCCGTTGGGTCGGCGAGAGGGAGAAGACGGGGGGACAGAGCAGAGGAAAAAAAAGAGAAGCTAGAAAGGAAGAGAAGAGAAGAGAAAAGGTAAAAAGAAAAATATGCCTTGGACAGGATCGCCGGTAAGGGGCGGTCGGAGGTGGAGGCTGCGGCCAGGGGGTGGCGGAGGGCACCCACAGGGTTGGGCATCCCGGGAACGGCACAAACAGCAGCACCAGACGAAAAGAAAGTTTGCCGTGTAACAACAAAAGACGTTTGTTATTGGCGCAGCATTTGAATTGTCTCTGTGTCGGCGGGCCTCCTTATTGGCCGAGCGTCGGCGACGCGACTCCTGCGCTGGTGGGGGGTTGCAAAGGGTGGTAGCCACCCCCACGACTCACCACCCAACCCCCACCGACCCCGCTTCTTGCCCCCTCCAGCGGTACCCCTACTGTGTCCTCGAGAGAGAACGGCTATACACGCGGCTAAGTGTACCGGCTATCTGGACTACGAAGCTACCCCCATACCGCTCCTACCCTTCTCGATCGTCCTCCCCGGATAGCGGCTGGGCCCTGGGATGACCCTTTCCGAGACCTACCTTGCGTACGGGCCAACCTCGTATCTGCTGGCAACGACGAGGGGGAAATGCCTCGCAGAATGCAGGCGTGACTCTTATTTAATTTTGCTGCTTGAGCTACCTGCCTGCATCCGGCGCGAACGGCGTTTCGAATTATACCGGAGAATGCGAGAGTGGTTTGGGGGAGCAAGGGAGCCTTTAATATCACCGGTGATTAGCGCTGTAGGCGCGCACTTGTGACCCCTCGCTGAACGAAAATCATTGTGCTGCATTCAATCCGTATTAACATCAATTTAATAAGCTCGAACGTAGCGGGCAGAGTTGTCGCGTACTGCTGGCGGGTTATCCCACGTATTTCTTCTACGTAAGCAACACGCTGAATTTTTCCTTCACGATGCACTGGCACCCTGGGAAAGTCATGAACGCGCTCTATTATCGTTACATCGTGTAACACAAACGCAATAAAAAATCATGACGCTTATTAACATATTGAAGGTTTTCAACTCATACATTAATTATGATACACCCAAGAGATCGTATGCAAATGATAATGACGCGAAGTGCGTTCGAGCCACGGTCTTCCAGACAGCCCCACGCAGAGCTCAACAGGGCGTAGATATTCTCTTCTCGTATCGATCCGTCGCCACTCTTGTATCCAACTTCGATCACCGGTACGGCATATCTAGCTGCGCGATTCATGCGCACAATCTTACTCGACACAGTTTTATATTCGTATCTATCGGTAACACGCTCTACGGCATATATCAATGGATCGGTTTCGAAATGCGTCGATAGACGTGCACTGATACCTACCTAGATTATTGTTAGCAACATCTGCTCCTAACGATTATTCTTGGAATTATGCTGCAAATTTATGACGCGGGTCGAAGCCCCGTTTTACGAGACGCTTTCGTATCAAAAACTTCGATCTCGCCGTGTAACTTATGACCTCCCCGTTTAACTTATGATGATCGCTCGGCGCTGCTATTAATTAATGTAAAACTGTTACCGAACGTTCCTCCACCTGTTTTCCAGCCGGTCGTTTTTCGGTACAATCGATCTGGTTGTTTACGACGTTCTGTAGAATGTAATTGATCAACGCGCACAATGATTCATATCGCGTCTATGTGTTATAACGACAACGGCACACTACGTATTTTTCATAATAAAGTCTTCTAAAGTAAATTAATACAGGGAGTAAAAGGCGCAAATACTTCTCATTAATATGCACGCAAAACGAATTTAGTTATCCTTTGATCTTAATTGATACAGCAATTGCGGAACTCGAACAATTTAACGTAATATGTTAATTAAACATATTAGAGAAACATAATAAAAAGAACAACTCTCCCGACTTTAATTTATATCGAATCAATTTAAACGAGATAAAGAGACGTACTTTAACGACTCATTATCTAGACATTTTTTTCCAACCAGTTTATTGCAGCATATTTAAGATTATAATCAATTGCTATGCAACTATTGCAATTCTGTACAACCAAATAATGATATTTTCATGTTTGATGATTCACCTTTTGAACTCTTGACCGCACGAGACGAAATTTGGTTAATCAAATGGCTTAATCTGTTCCTGGTATCTGTATTGAGTGCCATTGAATGACATAAATCAGTATTTGTTGCCTATGGCCAATGAGTAATCATTGACAGATAATATCAGACGTGTCCACTTGATATAATCGAATTAAGCTCGAATTTGGTTGCGTTATCATGAAGCACTACTACTATGATTAATCGATGAAAATCGTAATTTTAGATACCGCATTCGATCTCACCGTTAAGAGTTTATATTTGCTGGTTAGACATGCTGCGATATTAATTATAGCGTCACACTGGTCGATAGCAGAAATAAATTCCACGATAGATATGACATATTCGATAAAAATTTGCATAAAAGTAAATCGAGGTTTATCGAGGCAAAAGTAGAAACGTACGCTGTCATTTCGCTTGTATTCGGAAGATCTATTTTTATAACAGAAAAAATAAATAAAGAATAAAAAAGAAACGAGAAAGGAAACACATATCATATTTTATGTGCAAAATCTAAAAATAATTGTTAACTTCATTTACTTTATTAAATTTCCTAACGAAAATTTTCCTTTGAAAGAAATTTAAAAACAAAAAAATTATTTGAAACACGTTTGTTTGGACGAGCAAGCAATGAAGGTATATTCAAGAAAAGAATAGATATCCATAATACTCAAGTGCACATAAATCTAGATCGATGCAAGATCGAAACGCGGACATGCAACCAGATGTCTTCTTAAGGGAAATATCGTAGGACTAGATCAATCCGATTTATTTGAATGTAACGCTTGGCGCGTAGCTCCTTGTACTCGGATGCGAGTCTAACTCGATCCTTCCTTGAAAGATGCCGCCGGCAGGGAGTCAGGCGACAAAGTGTACGCGTGCACGACCGCTCATCCTCTCCATCGGCGCTCGCCTACCTGCATCGCTGGGAGAGTGCGTCTACAGCCACCCCAGGCTGCTGGCCCTCGTATCCCTCTCGAGAGAGGCGTGCGCCGCCTCCGATCCCCACCACGTCATCCACCCCTATATCGTCTCCCGCGCTCTCCCTCTCTGTTGCTGCCGCCGTCACATAAAAGCACTGGATGCGGGGTGAGATGCCCTAAAAGCTTGCACCACGCGCGAGATGGTGTGAGAGAGAGAGAGAGAGAGAGAGAGAGAAGAGTGGAGAGGGTGAAAGGGAGAGAGAAAGAGAGAGATGAGTCGGGAAGCGTGGAAAAAGAGCAGGTGCAGGACAGAGAGAGAGACGCGGGGACACAAAACGAAGAGAAGCAGCGCCGCGAGACAACTAACGGCGCACGAAGCAGCGACGATCGCTGGAGAAGGTGAGAGAGAAAGAGAGAAAGAGAGCTTACAACTTGCCTCGGGTACTATTGGAGGGGGGAAATACCCCCCGCGCGTCCCCTACGGCCTCCCCTACTTTCCTTATCTCCCTACCTTCTCGCCCCGGCACCGTCACCTCCCTCCCTCGGTTTCTCTCGCTTACGCTCTTTCTCTCGCTCCCCGTGTGTATGGTTAAATATTGCATTATTGTTTTAACGGCAGGGAGGAAAACAGCGCAGCCGGTGGTGCCCGCCCGCAGAGTTGCGCGCATCCGCGCCGCGTGTACACTCCTGTCGCGTCCTCGGCCGGAGTGTCGCGAGGTATCGCGGTAATCGCGTCGGGTTGCCAGTCAGCTTCGTTGCCGTAGAGGTTATCGTCGTCCGTGGACGCGCGTTGAAGCTCGCCAGTCGTCCACCCCCTATTTCCACCCTCTGTGACACGGCGAGATATCGCGCCGTGGCATCTCCTCTCCGTTCTTCTCGTACGCGGCAACGTCCAACGATCCGATCGGCGTTCCACGACACGTCCCGCGTGTCTTCTCCCTTCCTCCGCTTTGCATCCCCGCCAGCCGTATCGCGACGTCCACCCCTATACCGCCGAGAATGACTACGGAGCCACGTCGCGACCCAGTTGTGTTTCGCGTGCTCTCGCGCGTCCGCTGTTTGGTGGATGAGCCTCCGCTTGGAACGGGGTGCAGCAGCAGCAACGACGGCAGCAGCAGCAGCAGCAGCAGCAGCAGCAGCGACAGCACCAGCAGCCGCTAGAGATTCACGCGCACCCTCCACCCCCGCAACGTACAAATCCACCCACCCCGCGGTCGCAACCACCGCCTTATCCCGCGCTTTCTCCGCCAGCCAGCCGACGTAGCTGCGCAAGGCCATTCTCGGGGGTGCCACCCCCGGCTCCTTCCCCTCCCGCTCCTCTACCTCTCTCCCCTTGTACACCAATCCCCTCCTTCTCTCTTTTTCCTGTGTATATGCACCATCTCTCTTATTCCATCCCTCTCTTTCTCTCTCTCTTTCTCACGACTTCTCTTTCTCTCTCTCTCTCTCTCTCTTTCTCTCTTTCTCTCACACTTTTTCTCTGTCACCGCACACCCCGCATTTGCCACCCCTACACGCTGTACCCGGCATCTCAACAACAAGTACTCGCTACCCGGTAGCATCCGACACAACACAGCAAGTCGCCCTACCACCGCCTTCGAGGCCACCCTCGGAGGCCTGCCTGGGGTGCCTCGCAGCATCGTGGCAAACACAGTATCGTCTACTGAGCGTGGATGTCTCGAGACAACCGGGAGATATACCGCGGAACACTACCGGCGCCTTCTGACACCTTTGGGGTACGTCTCTCCCTCTCTCTCTCTCTCTCTCTCTATCTATCTATCTCTATCTCTCTTTCACTCTCACTCTCTCGCTCTTTCTCTCTGTCTCTCTTCCTTGTGAGCATACACGAACACATCGGGCACACGTGTGTCCGTGCGCTCGGACTGTCTCTCTCTCCCTCACACGCTCGCGCTTGCCCTCTCGGTCGCACCCAGTGTCCGTCTCATTCCTTTGCCCGGACTCGTTTTGAGGCGACCTGTCGATCTGCTTTTCTCTGTCTAACGGTTCGCCAAGATCACGCAACGATGTCTGCCTTCCTCGGGCACGACGTAAGCGCGCGAGAAAGAGAAGGGGAGGGAGAGAGAAAATGCAACGAGCTTTTCCCTAGCGACCGGGAGTGGATCCGAGTGATATTTTTGTGTTATCTATTCCGCGTGTGCAATCGAAGATCCATGAGGATGATACACAGCGACATTATACGCGACAGTGCTCATAACCGATCGATCAGTGCACACTTCAGCTGCGAGTGCACCGATATGCATCTATCTGCATCCCGTCGATCACGCGAGAGGATCACGATCACTCTAAAGTGCAACACTAATGCTGCAGTGACTGAAGTGTTCTTAAAAGTGCGAAAGATACCAGTACGTGAGCATTGCATTTATTTAAAAAAAATATTTTTTTCTTCATTTAAATTGCAGCATCAATGTCGCCGTATCGAAAGTGCTAGCAACAATGATAGCTTATTTAAGTGTAAATGTTGTACGTTAAATGTTAACGTACACGGTACATAAACGTACGTCATGTACCATGTACGTTATAAACATGTTAATTTGAATACAAAGTGATTTCATTTTATAATATGGAAATTTAATTTAATTTCGCGTGTCGTGAAGACAACGTCGTTGCAAATTGGCAATGTTTGCGAGCCTATCTACGCAAGCTGACTGATAAATTTCTATCTGCAAGTGAAACGCACATCGTGCCGAAAAGAGACACTCGCAGAATTCGTCATCGTGGAACATTTGTGCGCGATCACTCATCCGCTACGTGGGACAAGGTACAAATATCAAGATAAATATAGTGTTTAAACATCAGGCTGATAAATACCATGGTAATAAATGCAGCAATATCAGTGAAGCATAATCAACGTTTTCGATGATACTATCCCGAGGCGCAACCACGTCGACCTGAAATCGCGAGTGCTATCAAGCGTCGTGTCAATTTGTAGCAACAGCGATCGGGGCAATCAAACAGGTGTGTAAGCATAAACTCGTCGAAACGCAGCGTCGATACGACGTCGTCCCACGGATTCGAGATTCTTGACAACCGGCGAGAGTTAAAACAAGCGACTTAATCTTCACACGGCGACACGATGGTAAAGCAAGGCGACCGATAATGTCTCCGGCGTTACCTTAAACACGACGTGACTTAAGGCGCAATATTTATAATCGCGATTGCCCTTCGTGATGTGTCACACCATTTCTTCTGTAAACGCGTCGCGGCGTGCTATTTATGAAGCACGGAGGCTGTGCCTTACGTGCGAAGCAATAAAGACGTCTTGAGAAATATCGTAAATACGTGCATTACAATACGTCTAATAATACATACGCTGTACTGTAAAGTGTACATTTGTTCATTTAAAACAATACGAAAAAACAGCTCAGGAATTAATCAGATTTCGAGAATTTGAGAGACTCCATTATTTTATTTAATATCTTTCTCATTATTCTAAAGGATCTATAATAAGTATTTCTATATTTTGTGAGTGAAAATATCTAAAAATAAATAATATTTATTCAGTGGATATACCAATAACATATCTACTTAAATCTAAATTCCTTAATTTCTAAATAGATAAAAATAATTCCTAAATTCCTTAATAGGCAGAATAAAAGGATAGAATTTCAAGAAAATATTTATTTCCTTGTTTAAAAAATATTTTATGTATAAGTAAATATGTTATTAGCACTCAACGAATAAATATCTTTTTATTTCTTAGATATTATTTCTCTCAGTGTATAAATCGATTTATATACGTTGTAACAATATCGTACCAGTCTTTATTTTTCTTGTTGTCAACCGACAATATTAGCAAGGAAATAATGTTTTCTTTAATAATCATCTGGAGCTGCAAGCCGCGAAAGTCATCTTAGACATATATTCATATACCAAAAATATCATCGTCCTCCTTTTAAAGCGCCGTCAATTATATTAGCAACCCGATGCCATTATTTCCAGCGCGAAAAATTAATTTCCTCTAAGTGCATCCATTTAATCGACGAAAGTATTGTTCCGCTTTATCTTGTTTCACGTTCGCAAAGCCGCGTGTACACGCTGACAAAGGGGAACGCAGTGTTTACGCTTTATCGTCGGCCAAGCTGTTTTCTTTATCGATCGCGATTGTTATCGGGTCATCTTGCAGGCCATTGCTTGCAATTGCATCTACCGAACTGCCGGACGTGCCTATTCCGTAAAAGCTTCTCGAGGCTTGAGCGGGCAACCTCACGATATATGAAATTTTCGAACGACTTTCGATTCTTACGTCTACGGACAATATCGTTGAATGAAATCGGAAACAGTTTATACGGGTTAAATGTGTTTCGTGACAATACAATGTCACGTCGTAATTGCTTTGGAATTAATTGCTGCTGATTAGATATTAAAGATGATGGTTGAGAGGACACGCGATTCGATGATTACGAATAGTAATCAAAGTTATCTCGAAAATGAAGAATAACAAATCGAAAGTAACTATGAATAATAACGAAAACATTCGGAGGAAGGCAGCAAGTATATGGTATCGCGTTGAAGAAGCACTCACAAACGGCATTTAAAAGATCATTAAGACAATTACTGGATGCAACGTCTGAATTAACCAAGTTAACCAAGTTTTTCGAGACGATGATCGAGTAGAGCAGGCGGAATGTAATATCAGCGTCAAGAACGCTCGGAGAGATCGTCGAGTAATGATAAATCAGAGAACTTATCAACATCTGTCTCTCTTCGTCATCATTCTTCTTATTCTAGCGAGTAAGCGCATGATGACTGATATATACGATTTCTTTCCCATAAAACTCGACACAACTCTGCCAAGCCTAGGCTTATGAATAAAAAATGACAAGTACAGAGTGAAAAGTGTGCTATTCTTTAGAAATGTTGTGACACAGCTGCTGAAATTGTTCGAGTGAATTTTCATACGTACACCATGACTACGAATCCGCGAACGAAAGCTATTAAGAATGATTGCACGTCTTACGGAAAGTGTGTACTTCGAAATCCAGCAAGTGACAAATTGCTGTACAATACGGGATATTTCCTATATATATTACGACATATCCCACCCTGCGTCTCAATTTGTCAGCCGCTGGATTTTCGACCATGTATTTTCCATAAAATGCGTAATTACTGTGAGTATGTCTCGCTTATGGTATCGTTATTCTCACCAAAGAAAAATACATCTAACATTTCCCTTGTCTCGTTTCATTGTCTCTCTCTATTTACGATTCTACTTGTATCGCACACAGAGAAGAGAAAATATTCAAAAATAAGAAATATATATGTATGCGATAGGTACTAATGACATATTTACTTGCACTAATATATACATGCATATTTTTGCATTGAGAAAACATCTCTTTCAAATAAGAAAATGCATATTTCCCTAAAATCTACTTTTCAAGATGAAAGCAATGACATATTCTATTTGAACAAAAGAAATCAGATTTAAGTAAATATAGTGTTATTACTACCTATCGAATAAATAGTTTTTTTTATTTTTCAGACATTTTTTCTTTCAGTGTTAACGTGTGATCTCGGAATACTATTACATAATCATATACTGACGCTTAACGACAGCCATCAGTCGACAGGGTTGACAAGACGTTGCTATGGAGACTCGCGTAGTCTCGCGAAAAACTGTGCTTTCATCGGCGACACGGCCGACACGGGGAAAATACGTGCTATCATGTCGGGCGCGTGGCACGCACTGGGATAGCCGAACGCATCGTTGTGTCGAGTAGTGTAGTGTATCGTCGGGCGCCGACGCTTCGTCCCCTTGCCCTCCACCCCACCGACGCCTCACCCACGGCACGTCCTACCCCCCCCGAAACCGCGAACCTTCAAGCTCCACGCTGGAAAAGCTGTAAGCTCCTACCTGCTCGACAGTCGCGTGGCCACCGCGCCACTGTGCGCACGAAAGTACCGCGAAACATCAGCCGGCAGGTTAACCGCGAGCAGCATCTCCTGCTGCTGCCTCCCCCGTGATTAACACCGCGCTAAACGCATTGCATTGCATTGTGGCCGCGAACCGCAAAATGCGATTGCACGCATGCCGCGTACGGCGCGCCACCGCGTTTCTTACATGCTGCCCGCGGCTTCCGCCTGCGCTGAAACGTAATTGATTTTCTCCGACACACACACACACACACTCTCTCTCTCTCTCTCTCTCTCTCTCTCTCTCTCTCTCTCTCTCTCTCTCTC